TCACAGCCCTCCTGACACTGAACAGCATACACATTATTACTCTGTTTGTGCTGGGGGACTGGATCTTTGGGATGAACCAGTCTTTGCCGTAATGTATTTTGGGGTTTAAAAGTCACTGGGACGTTATGTTTAGAAAATAAACGTCTCAGTTTCTCTGATACTCCCTCAACATACAGAATGACCACTGGTCTGGGTCTGGGTTCCTTCTTTTCACCTGATGGCTGGTTGGAGTCCTGTTTGGGTTTCTTCTCTGCTTTCAGGAAGGTCCAGTTAGAATATCCACATTGCTCTAGAGCAGAGGTGGGCAATTATTTTTTCCATGGGGCCACATGAGAAACAACAAATATTGTGGAGGGCTGGCACAAATGACTTTTTCATTCAACCTTTATTTAGACAGGTAAATCCCATTGAGCCTTGAGGACTCATTTACAAGAGAGACCTGATTTCAAGTTAACTCAATACTGCATAATAATAGTATTTCATTATTAAAAGCAGTACATAGCACTGTTTTAACAAGCTGGTAAGAGTATTTGTTATGATTAAGCAATGAAAAACGAGGTTTCCTTACAAAAAATGTCATTTATTCAATTAAATTTCCCAATACAATGGTAAACTGTTAACATTTTTACCATTTGTGACGTTATATTAGTGATCATTTTCAGTCACATTCACCCCAAAACTAATTTTGAGTTTTATATACTGCTGAAAAAGTTCTTAGCTTTGTAAATCACAATATTGTCTTTGTACTCCAAATATTATGAAACATCATATAATAATGATCGTCACTGAACTGTGATTTTGAGTCCCGGTTCTTTACGTGCCTACATTTGTAGTCTAAAAATCTCATTTGGTGTTTTTCAGTTCTTTTTTCTTGTTTAGTGAGAGAAGTTTAGTCTCTGTTGGGCTTTAATGGAAATGTTAAAGTCAGGTTGAAGGTCTGAGGTGGAGATGTGAAGCAAAGCTGACATCATCATTGAGAGAGGATCTATATCTGGATTTGGCTAACTTCATTTGTTTACATATGTATTTTGTAATTCCCCTTACGGGGGCCGGTGAGAGTCAACCAAAGGGCCGCATGTGGCCCTGGGGACGTACAATGCCCAGGTCTGCTCTAGAGCCTGTCTTGTGTGGGATTTCTCCTTCTGCCTGGCTCCTGAGTTAGTGGGGACGCTGTCTGCTCTGTGATACAGAGTCCTGATGACTTCTAACTTGTGCTCCAAAGGATGATGGGAGTCAAACTGCAAATACTGGTCTGTGTGGGTGAGTTTGCGGTACACTTCAGTTTTTAAATGTCCTCTATCAGAGACTGAGACCTCACAGTCCAAGAAAGCCAACTTGCCATTTTTTTCATCTTCTCATGTGAACTTGATGTATTTATCCACAGAGTTGATGTGGTCAGTAAAATGTTGGACTTCCTGAGATTTAATTTTAACCCAGGTGTCGTCAACATACCTGAACCAATGACTTGGTGGTGTCCCTGAAAAGGACGTCAAGGCTCTCTTTTCTACCTCCTCCATGTACAGGTTGGCAACAATAGGAGAAACTGGAGACCCCATAGCACACCCATGTTTCTGCCTATAATATTGCTCCCCATATGTGAAGTAGGTTGACTGCAGGCACAGTTTCAAGAGTTGACACAGTTGTTCTGTGGAAAGCGTGGTCCTACTGCTCAGAGTGGTGTCTGATTTTAATTTTAAACTGACCACCTCTACTGCATCATCAACATGAATGCACGTAAAGAGTGATGTGACATCAAAAGAGACCATTGTTTCATCAGTCTCCATGATGACATCCCTCACCTTATCCACAAAGTCCATGGTGTTCTGTATGTGGTGTTCTGAGCTGCCAACTAAAGGGATGAGTACAGACGCCAGATATTTGGAAACATTGTAAGTGACAGAGTTAATCATGCTAACAATTGGTCTTAAAGGTACACCTTGTTTGTGGATTTTAGGTAAACCATACAGACTAGGTGTGGCCTCCCCTGGGTTCAGTCTGTGGTACAGAATACGGTCAATAGTCTTGTCCTGTTCCAAAAAAATTTCAGGCAATCTATTAACTTCTTCTTGTAACCACTTCCTGGATCTCTTTTCAGTGGTTCATAAGTGTTTAAGTCACTAAGGAGTGTCATAACTTTCTCATGATAGTCTTTCTGGGTCAAAATCACTGTGCACCTTCCTTTGTCTGCTGGGAGAATGATGATGTTTTTGTCCTTGCTAAGAGTGGTGAGTGCATCCCTCTCCTCTCTACTGATGTTGGAAGGTGGTGGTTTAGTATTGCTGAGGCAGGATGAAACTTTGATTCTAAGCTGTTCTGCCTCATACTCTTTAATTTTGTTGTTGCGGATGGCTGATTCTGTGGCTGTGATCATCTCCACCAGAGGAATTCTTCTTGGTGCAACCGCAAAGTTCAGTCCCCTGGCAAGTTAAACCTGTTACTAATTCAATTTTTCCATTCAAGTCAGTATACTTTGCTGGGGAACATAATTTCCCACATCTGATCTAGACTAAAGATGAACTGTTAGTGTCTTAAAGTTCTCAGAGCATCATGCCAGAAAAAAATTGACGATCCATTTAGTTTTCATTCTGGCTAATCCGCATGGCCTGTATGTTTGTTTGGTGAGGTTTTCAAACAGGTCTGGGATAAATTTCTCAATCATTCATGCTTCGCTCGAGACAAACTAGCTCCGATCAACTAGTTCCGATCAACCTTAAAAAGTGAGTTCCTTTAATTCTTTAATTCATGAATAAATATTGGCAAAACTGAAGACATTACAGTATCCTGTTTTTGTGATTATTGTGAAAATTAGCATTCCTAAAAGAGGTACCCACCACCTTGCATGCCAGAGTTCAAAGTTCAAAAGCTTATGCCTGATTTGTTAATGCTCAAAGTATGTGTTAAGGATTACTCCTAGCTACTACCATGTCTAATTTGAGTTCAAAATCTGTAAAAAAAAATGACCAAGTAATAAATAAATGTAATAATTCGGCTGTAGGTTCAATCTCGAATTACGTTGACTCCCAAAAGTAAACTGTTGGTGTACATCCAGTTATTACTTCATGGGAGTTTATTTTAAATCTATATAGAAGTACATGGGATATTTTGCTAACAAACAGAATGATTGCCCACCTTTAATCGCAGCAGGTCAAAGAAATCTGTTTGCAACCTGAATACCAGGACTCATTTGCAGACACACTATCCTGAACCATGATCTGAGCAATACTGTTGCACAATGAAGCCCAGCACTGTGTGGAATTGCTTCATATAACATGCAACACATGCTGGTTCAGAGTAGATGCAGTACATGTAGAGAGGCTGCTCTATCTTGAACAGAAAACTGCTCATGATAACATTTGTTATCATTGCTTTGTGAGGAGGAAAAGCCCGAGATAAAGTGTCAAAACCAGGAGCTGGGAAAATCTGAAGTGAATCACCATGGTATTTTTTTTTTTTTTTTTTCGTTTTGTATGTGCATGTATGAAAGTTTGCTTTATCCTTAGTATGTCTGGCTAGTGTGTTTACAATAGCATGCAGTTGGGTTTGGTGAGGGAGGAGCTGTTGTTAACATAAATGATTTACTCAAGAGGGAAAGCGAGCCAAAGGGAAAGAATGTAAAAGAGTGCCGGAAATTCTGGGAAACTTCAGGGAGTTTTTTTGGTTTTGCAGATAGCAGGAGACAAAGTGGAGCAAGGTCAGACTGCTTTCCCCTCTCGCGCATACGAAACTCTGAGTATCTGCTGGAAGAAGGGTGGGTGGCCCAGCAAGCATTCCACATCTCTGCAATTCCAGCTCTCTAAGACCGAATGTCATGTTGGGACAAGCTTGCTGACTTGCTATACCTGCTGCAGATAAAACCTACACAGCCTTGTCAAAGTAAATGTGTCTGCATAGCCATAGGTTTGGTCCAGCTGCACTCAGCTGCTTGTTATGGCTTGAAGCCAAAAGGCAGAGAATATCCTGATGCATGCTCAATAATGAGCATGCATCAGGGAATATGTTTTACCTGTATGTGAGGTTGTCAGTTGTGTAACAAAATATGTCACAAACCAGGGAACGGATTTTAACAAAACACTCAGAAAGAAGTCACAGGATGGACGTCTACAACCTAATTATTGGAATCAATCCAATTCAGGATGGCTGCCACACCAACTCATCTTTAGCAAACACAAGAATGGCTACAACTCAGTCTAGTTTACAGAGTCTGGGCTACTTTTTGGTTTAGTAGTAGCTGAGAGTCATCCCCAACATATACTCCAAGCACTAACAGATTGCTTGAGATACTGTATTGGGTTAAACTGCGCATAATGTTGATTTGTTATTTCTCAAGACGAGCTTAGCTCAAAACTTTTGTACTAAAGGCAGATTTCCTTCAAGTAGTGCACAGTTTTTATTTTACTTCAGCACTGGTTTTCAGCAGTTCTTGTATTTAAATTGAGCAAATTAGGCAAGGTTTAATTTAATTGTATTTGGCATTTGTAATACAAAAAAAAAATCTGAAAATGAAAAGACAGCATGATAAGAGGGGGAAGAGAAGATTCACAGCAAACTCATCTGCTGATAGATTAAACCGCACAACTGTTTTTTCCTCAACATAAAAATCTGTTTTAGTAGAGATGTTTTACAACCATATAATCTTATATGGCTATGGCAAGCAAACAAAACTATCAAGCTGTCAAAATCAAAGACTTTTCTGCGTAATTAACGTAAACAGATGTGAAGAAGAGGGGAATACAACTGTCTCTTTGGACTTAATTATCATTTTATCTGCCAGAAATCTAACCAAGTGAGTCCTCTTACATCAACTCATCTGTGCAAGTCTGACAGGGAAAACAACTCCTTCTTTTCTCTGAAGAGGAGAGGAGGATCATATAAACAGCAGCCAAGAGTTTGCGGAGTGGACTTGTAAGAGTTCATAGCCACAAAGGGAACAGCTGAGCTTTGGACAGATCTTTACACTCCAGTAAAAGTTAGAAAATACCTTGAAATTTGTTTTCGGAGAACATGTCTCTAATCACCTCTGTGGCACTCCTGGTTTTCCTGACCATTCATGAAGGTAAGTGCAATCAGTCAGTCAAATAAATATGTTTAGTTGTATTTAAAAGCATCAAAGTGATCTGTTCATGTGGAAATGTGTGTGTTTTTTACTCTTCTCTAATATTTAAAAACCTTAGCGAGCTCTGTGGGGGATCAGGGTTTGAATCTGCGGTGTCGGTGCATCAACAAGGAGAACAAGCCCATAGGGCGTCACATATTACTGGTGGAAGTCAACCCTGCAAACTCCCACTGCACGGACATAGAGATCATGTAAGTCCAGAGCAAAGGGTTGTGTTTATGGGATCGAATAAGGCAAAATGCCCTGAGGTGTTACACTGATGTATGAGGTCTGTCTTTCATTCTGAAGAGCTACTCTTAAAAAGGATGGACTGAAGGTTTGTCTGGATCCCGATGCTCCATGGGTCAAAAAAGTGCTACAGAGAAAACTAGGGTGAGTCTCTCATGTTTTTTTTTAATACGTTTAACTACAAAACCGGTTTCCAAAAAAGTTGGGGCACTAAACAAATTGTGAATAAAAACTGAATGCAATGATGTGGAGGTGCCAACATCTAATATTTTATTCAGAATAGAACATAAATCACAGATCAAAAGTTTAAACTGAGAGAATGTATTATTTTAAGGGAAAAATCTGTTGTTTCCAAATTTCATGGCGTCAACAAATCCCAAAAAAGTTGGGACAAGTCCATTTTTACCACTGTGTGGCATCCCCCCTTCTTCTTACAACACTCAACAGATGTCTGGGGACAGAGGAGACCAGTTTCTCAAGTTTACAAATAGGAACGCTCTCCCATTCATGTCTAATACAGGCCTCTAACTGTTCCATCGTCTTGGGCCTTCTTTGTCGCACCTTCCTCTTCATGATGCGCCAAATGTTCTCTATAGGTGAAAGATCTGGACTGCAGGCTGGCCATTTCAGTACCCGGATCCTTCTCCTACGTAGCTATGATGTTGTGATTGCTGCAGAATGTGGTCTGGCATTATCGTGTTGAAAAATGCAGGGTCTTCCCTGAAAGAGATGACGTCCAGATGGGAGCATATGTTGTTCTAGAACCTGAACATAGTTCTCTGCATTAATGGTGCCTTTCCAGACATGCAAGCTGCCCATGCCACAAGCGCTCATGCAACCCCATACCATCAGTGATGCAGGCTTCTGAACGGAGCGTTGATAACAACTTGGGCTATCCTTGTCCTCTCTGGTCCGGATGACATGGCGTTCCAGTGTTCCATAAAGAACTTCAAATCGTGACTCATCTGACCACTGAACAGTCTTCCATTTTGCCACACTCCATTTTAAATGACCCCTGGCCCAGTGCAAACGTCTGAGCTTGTGGAGCTTGCTTAGAAATGGCTTCCTCTTTGCACTGTAGAGTTTCAGCTGGCAACGGCAGATGGCACGGTGGATTGTGTTCACTGACAATGCTTTCTGGAAGTATTCCTGAGCCCATTCTGTTATTTCCTTGACAGTGGCATTCCAATTTTTCCTGTAGAGTTCAGAGTGTCCTCCTTACCATGACTCCTGTCGGGAGAAGTTGATCGATTTTGTTGAGAGACCAGCTGATCTTTCCAATTAAGAGGTATGCAGGAAAAAAAAAAGAGGCTTTTTAAGGGTTCACAGGACAAAAGAGCGCAGCAGGGAAGCGGGTGGGGGGGGGGGCAGAGAGGGAAAACACGTCTGGTTTCACCGTAGAGTAGCAAGAAAAAAAAAACAGTGGCATTCCTGTTTGAGGTGCAGTGACGTTTAAGGGCCCGGAGATCACGAGCATCCAGTAGAGTTTTACGGCCTTGACCCTTACGCACAGCAATTGTTCCAGATTCTCTGAATCTTTTGATGATGTTATGCACAGTTGATGATGATAACTTAAAAGTCTTTGCTATTTTACGCTGGGTAACACCATTCTGGTATTGCTGCACTATGTTTCTGCGCAACAATGGTGGAATTGGTGATCCTCTTACCATCTTGGCTTCTGAGAGACACTGACACTCTGAGAAACTCTTTTTATACCCAGTCATGTTGTCAATTGACCTAATTAGTGTTAATTGGTCATCCAGCTGTTCGTTATATGCTCAATTTCCTTTTTCCAGCCACTTATTGCTACTTGTCCCAACTTTTTTGGGATTTGTTGACACTGTGAAATTTTGAATCAACATATTTTTCCTTTAAATTGTTACATTTACTCAGATTAAACTTTTGATCTGTCATCTATGTTATATTACGAATAAAATATTGACATTTGCCATCTCCACATCATTGCATTCAGTTTTTATTCACAATTTGTTTAGTGTCCCAACTTTTTTGGAATCCGGTTTGTATAAGCAGGAAAGCAAAGTCACATGTACAAGAAAAAGTGTTCTCTGTTTGTGCTCAGGAGTTATAGACATTTAGCTGTGTGGGAAATACCTTTCAGCATGAACGTACTTTGTTTCATTAGGGGATGACAACTGCAGTAATTAATACGTTTCGTAGAAGTTCACGCTTGTTCAAAGAGAAGAGAGAGATTAGGAAGTGTTATTACTTTGACATCGCAGTAATCTATACCCTTCACCCCTCTTAATGAAATTCACATGAAAAGACTAGTTTTCCTTTTGGCTAAATCCTGAGTACATTTCACTGAAGAGCTGTCACTTCCAAGACAGAGATAAAACAGACACTAAAACATTTCAAATAATTAAAGGCCTAGAATTCCTTGAAGGAATCCACGTCACCCACTTTCTGTGGGACCTGTAGATGACTTTTTAAAAATTCTACATCTATACTTTATATCGTATGTGTTAGTGTAAGATCTTACAAGAGGAGTTTGTGCTCAGGGCTATGAGATCAGTGACTACCACAGGAAGTTTTAAGTTTTTACGTTAGAGACATTTTTGTGTGGTGGTCATCTTGAATCGGGCTGACTCCAAATGGTGATCAGTTGTACTTTCTGGGAGTTTCATTGGGAGCTGTCAAGTGGTTTTAGAGAATTCATGCTAACGATACAAACAAACGAACACAGACAGATTATCCCCGTTTGCCTTTGGCAGCAAGAGATAATAAAACTATAGAAGTTACTGGTACATTGTTATTATTTTTATAGAAAATCAAGGCAAGCACCAAGAAAAAAACACAAGTAATGTAATTTTTTTTTTTAACTCATATTTCCCTTGTATTTCTATTGTAGACTGACTCTCATCTATTTAGCAATAGGGCTGTTATCTTAAAATTACTATGATGATAAACATTTCATGTTTTACATAAAACATAATCAAAATAAAATAATGAAAATTATCCATAATGAATTGCCACTCTTAAAGTTACTCTGTCAGAGTCAGAGTCAGAGTTTCTTTATTGTCATTCACACCTCATGTGGTACATGTGGTGGAGCGAAATTATGTACACAGGGTCCCAGTTACATCCAACAATAAAATGTATAAGAAAAACAGTAATAACATCTAAGATATGAACTAAGAAA